ACATCCAGGGCTACCGCTTTTCCTAGTTCATGTAACAAGGCAACTGGTTTTGTTTCTCCCGGTATTGGTCATGGATGAAAGGATCGCAATCACGGCAGCTTGTGTAGAAGAGAGACTTTTTAGAAACGCTTCCTAATTGTCAGTGCAAGGACTGGTCCAATCTAGATGACATCCTAATTTAGGGTGGGGATTTGAATGCTAAAAGCTGGAGGTAAGAAAACTGTTTCGCTTCCTTCTGAGCTGACTGCCTCATAATGCTCCCAACCAGCACTTTTTGGCATGACAAGGATGACCACTTAACAGATGCAAACAAAACGCGTGGAAGTGCAGACGTGACCAATTCTGACCTAATTCTGCCCCAGTTGTGGTTCCTTCCCATTCCTTGGCCCAGCGTCGGTCCTTTTGCCTTGCTACCGCAGGAGGATTCAACCCTCTTTATTTTTCATTTTTTAGTTTCTTTATCAGATGGAACGAGATACCTAAAGAGATGAAACTGGAGAAACCATCTGACTGAACCCTCCTCTTTGCTTTCTGTTGAAAACAAACAAGCAAACCGATTAATTGATCTTTCTCTCTCCCTCCCTCCTTCCCCTTTGCATTTCACGTCCCCCTCGTTTTCTTCTTTTGGTTGAATTGTTTGTTTCCCTCCTTCCTCCTTTTGCTTCTTTCTCTCTTTCCCCTCCATCCGATTTCAAGTGGGCGCATCAGTTACACAGACATGTATGAGATGCTGAGACACATGTCTCCACCACTTGGACTGGGAAAGAAATGCCCAGCTCGGGTAGCCTATAAGGTTAGACCATCTTTCCGGGCCACCGGTGACATCCATGCGTCATGTGGCTAAGCTGAATGCCCTCTCTCTTTCTTCTTTCTCTCTGTGATGTTTGTGGTTTCCACTGGGCGCTTTCATCTGCTTTTCTCATCTAGTTCAGGGGTGTCCAACATTTTGAAGACCTCCACATTCCCAACACATTCCCGACGCTCCTTTCAGAGGGGGAGCAATCTGTTGCAGGCCTGAGGACACCTATGACCACAACACCACACAAGGGTCCAGAATATAAGCAAACAGTTAATTGTTTAAAAAAAACACATAAAATTATAGGGAAAAAATCAGAAATAAAGAAGGAAGATACATAATCCAAAAAGGTTTAGCAGTAGGTGATAATTCAACAGGAATCCAATAATAATAATAATAATAATAATAATAATAATAATAATAATCTTTATTTATACCCCGCTACCATCTCCCGCACGACTCGGTGCGGCTTGCAAGAGGCCGAGCCCAAATACATCAAAAAAACACGACAACAATACAACAATAAATAACTCATAAACAGGAGCCCCCGGTGGCACAGTGGGTTAAACCCTTGTGTGTCGGCAGGACTGAAGATTGACAGGTCGCAGGTTCGAATCCGGGGAGAGGTGGATGAGCTCCCTCTATCCAGCTTCTCATGCGGGGACATGAGAGAAGCCTCCCACAAGGATGATAAAACATCAAAAAATTATCCAGGCGTCCCCTGGGCAACATCCTTGCAGATGGCCAATTCTCTCACACCAGAAGCGACTTGCAGTTTTTCAGGTCACTCCTGACACGACAAAAAAAGTAGTAAATTTTATTGATTAGGCCTAAAGCCATATCACAGTACATTTTTTTCTAAAAACTAGAAGGGATGAGGCCTGCCTGACGTCACTGGGGAGGAAGTTCCACAGCCAAGGGGCCACCACTGAGAAGGCTCTGCCTTTCGTTCCCACCAATCACACTTGCATAGAGGGTGGGACTGACAGCAGAGCCTCCCCAGATGATCTTAAAGTTCTAGTAGGCTCATACAAGGAGATGCTACATACACACACTTAGCCAAAAGGCCGACAAGGAGATACATGAAATGCCATGAAAGCATTTCATTTCCCATGAATTCTCTCCACAACTTTTCCACATAATCGCTCTGACATGTGATGCCTATTTTCTGCTCTGATCTGTAAACAAAGACCTTTGTTGATTTCTGTATCTCCAGTTTTTTTTTCTCCTGGGAGTCTTTTGTATCACTTAATTCTACGCCCGACTCCTTATCTAATGCTGCAGTTTCTGGCTCCTCTGACTGACCTTGAAGCCCTGTGCTTTCCGAGTCAGATTTCTCATAGAGAGAAGCATCATTTCCCTGACTTGAATCTTCCCGCAGACAATCCCACAATCCTCTCTAAATCATCAGTGAACCCATCAGCCTCAGGAGCCTCAGGCTGATCTGCAACACAAACATTCCTGTGAATGTCATGCAATCATCGTTCTTTCAGAAAGCAGGGATGGCCCCTTGCCGTTTTGAGCATCCGAACGAAACGGATAAGCCGAGTGGACAAAGGGACCAGCTAAAAATGGATCTGTACACATGTCTACTCACCAGGTGTAACTCCCTGCTAATTAAAGCATTGTGGTGCTTGGGCACCGCAATTCCCTGTCTTAACTGTCAGAGTGAGACCCTGGGGTCTATGGGCAGCAGAGATGAGGTTACTAGATCACACAGACACAAAACAGGACACTGCAGTCTGTCAGTCTTAGAAAATAACAAAGTTTACTTAGCACATCTTAATACACGTCTGCTTCCAAGTGAGCTTAATCAGGAACTACAACAGGAACTACAAAGCACAACTATAGTACGGTTACAGAACATCTGTTTATCAGTTTCACTTTGGCTGTAAGCCGGATACTCCCTAATTCTTCCCAGACAGAGAGAACTTGTTATCTTACTTCTGCCAAGGTCTCTTCTCTCTCTACCCATCTGTCTCACACAACAACAATTCCAGCGTACAATTGAACATAACTGAATCCATCTTGAATACATATGAACACCATTGTTAAGCACATTGAAACACATTGAAAAAGCATACATGCATACTTTCAATAATCCTGACATTAACCACAACACTAACTGTAGGACTGTAAGGTGAAGAATAGGGCTGGGGGAAAGAAGAGACTCCACACCTTTTGGCGGGCATACATACATAAGAGTTTAGGAGAACCTCCAACTTCCTGAATCAGGGGACATCCCATCAGAGGGTTAAGGGTCATCATGTATTAAGGGTCATCATGGCACCCTTACTCGTTGCTCCTCATACACAACAGGAGAGGAAAGGACCATGTTGAATTGGTTTTACCTGTGTGGAAAATTGTGGATAGAGTCTCTTGATCAATGCAACCCTCTGATCCCTGCGAGTTTGGCACCCCTGTCCTAGTTCTCAGCATTCCACCCATCAGTCATTGCAGCTGTGGTGATGCCTTTCTAGCTATCTGAATCTCTCACACACATTCTTCTTGACTCCTGTTACCTTTTCTCTTTTACCTGGCTCAGGTGATAGAGCATGAATCTGTGACTTGACCTGTGTTGACACCAACATTGAGCAGATCTATTATTGCAGTGGCAGCTGATGGCTTCCATGTCAGTGGGACCATTTAATGTTTTGGAGCTTTCCAAGGTGCTAGATCTTGTTGAAAGATAAGGTTCAGCACATTGGAGAGCTAAGGACTCAATTGAAACCTGGAGTGGATTTCACGACAGAACTGACATGGGAGTCGCCAGCAACGACTACTCTGTGTCATAGAATTGGAACTGTAGAGTGGGTAGGGTCCCCAAAGGTCATTGTGTCGAACCCTCTCCATTGCAGGGATTCACAAGTAAAGCATATAGGAGGACAACAGGTGGGCCATCGAATCATCGATGTAGATCCTTTAGTTCCTTTTCTCAATGAGACAATGTCTGCTTCCTATTTATTTCTTGAATTATATGAGTCCGCGTTGCAATCCCTTCCTCTCCATCCCCTCGCCATTTCAGAAGAACTAGGCCGCCAAGGAGGGTTTCTCCCCCTCTCTTTCGCTAGCAACCCACTTTCTGTGTCTACATGGCATTTCTCTTCCACAGCCTCCTTAAGGGATGCTTTCTCTCCGCTCCTGTCTTCCTGCTTGTTTGATCACCACATCCTTCTATAGGCACGTAGGGCTATGTGTCTGTGTGTCGGCATTCACCAGTCCTTGCCAAATTGTCGGTGCATGACCCTTTTCCTTGCTTGTTTTGAGTGCATGCATTATTATCTTGATGGCTTGATTCTGTAACAACATGGGAGAGCTATATCCCAAAGATGGGCTGGGGGGGGGGGGGGCTTCCAAAGGACGGTTCTCTTTCCCAAAAACGGGGGATTGTGTGTGCATCCTGACTCCATCTGAATCTGGCGTGAACCAAAAATATAGAAAGAAGACTTGCACATGTAGACTGATAGGCGAAATCCAAAACCATGTATGGTTGGAGGATCTCAATGATGTTTGAAGCCCCTGTTGACTTATTCAACATTATCAGCTGTGTGGGGAGAGGCAGAGGATATATTCTGCAACATCTGGCTTGACATATCTATTCCTTCATTTTCTATTGGAATATTTGTCCAAGTCCATAACTGTATTGAGATAAAAAGCAATATCCTATGCTCCCTCTACCTCCTGGGATGGGATTATTTATTTATATTTATTTATTTACAGCTTTTATATTCCGCCCTTCTCACCCCGCAGGGGACTCAGGGCGGATTACAGTGTACACATATATGGCAAACATTCAATGCCAATTTTGACATACAACATATACAGACATAGACAGAGGCTATTTAACTTTTTCTGGCCGCCAGGGGAACTGTTGCTTTCTTCGTCCATCTGCGACGTTGATGAAGCACTTCCGCATTCCCCGCATGCTTCCCCGCTGGAATGCTTTGCTGGAGTCTTCTCACTGATCCCTAGGATTAGAATGCTCTATTTAGTGTGAACCTATAAAAAAGAAAACGAATATTGGAGATGGATACATTTGTTACAATAATAATAATACACTATATATATATATATATATATATATATATATATATATTCCACCTGTCTTAAACCAGAGCAGGAACACCTCTGACCTCCTTAAACACCACACTAGCTTGGCAAAATCAGCACACAGTTTATTGAAGAATATATGTATTTATTTATTTATGTATTTATTTACAGTATTTATATTCTGCCCTTCTCACCCCGCAAGGGACTCATGGCGGATTACAATGTATATATTCATGGCAAACATTCAATGCCATAGACACACAACATATATAGACAGATACACAGAGGCAATTTAATATTCCAACTTTTCATGAGGGTATTCTGGCCACCAGGGGAGCTGTTGCTTCACTGTCCATTTGTAACACTGATGAAGTACTTCCTCATTCTTTGCAGGCTTGCTGGAGATTTTTATGGCATTGTAAATTAGTGAAATTAGCCTCCCCACATAAGCAGTACCTAAATTTCCTACTTGACAGATGCAACTGTCTTTCAGGCTGCAAAGGTCTACAGAAAAATACACAAATTGGTCGGACACTCACTTCCTATTTATTTCTTGAATTAAATAGGAAGTGCGTGTCTGACCTGAGCTGGCTTCGAACTCATGACCTTTCAGTAGTAGTGATCTTAATGCAGCTAACTTCCAGCCAGCTGCGCCACAGTCCCGGTGCAAAACAGTAAAGGCAAAGCAGTAAAATTAGCAAAAACAGTAAAGTTCCCAAAACAAAGACCAGTCCATGAGCTTCATGGCAAGAAAAGATCCATTGGAAAATCCAATACACAAACCAGGAGCTTGGCAAAAACTTGGTGCATGAAAGTAAGAACACTTGAAAGCAAGACCATGATGAAATTCCAACGTTGACCCAACTGAGGCAACTCTTTCCCATGGATCAATATAAGGCTTTTCCAAATCCCAAAACCAAAAGGAAAGCATTTCTCTTGACCTTACC